TTATATTATTTGGGTTTCTGTTTCCCCGATCTTGTTCTTATTTTGCTTAAGCACAACAAACCTACTCGACCTCTCCATTCAGCTTGGCAGGACTGTTGCCAGTAGAACCCTAGCCTTTCTCCGTAGATCAGCAAGTTTTTATATTATTGTATGAAGGTGCCAATTTTCATTGCGAGTCTAATGGCAGAGGTCTCGAACGCGTCTGTCACGCGAACATTGTATTCTCTAAATATTTATAGCATTTTCTTTCCACACCATAGGCTAGGACATTAACTTACTCTTTCTAACCATTTGTCGTATTTCCCTGGTATCCAAATTCTATATAGATATACGAATATGCTTCAGTCAGTTAACTTAAATGGCAGTGCTCAATCAACTCGATATGTTTTATATTCATTTATATAACGCAATGTCAGACATAGATACAGTCTTAAAAAGTACACAATTACTTCCACACCTTCCCAATTTGGCAATCCCGAACCACTGCCAGGTGCAAAAACCACAAATTCCCAAACCCAACCCCGACCCAATCCCTAAATAACGATATACATTCCCACCAGGAACCCAGCCAATAACCCCATAGCCAAAACCAATCATCCCCTAAACCCACCGATAACAAAGCGGGAAGCAAGCGGAATGCCAATGCTTGGCAGTCGCGCAGCAACAAAGATCAAGCTCCAAAGCCATTCTTGGCCTTCCAATGGGACCAGATGTCCATTGCACGCGGTTATACTAGAAATTGAGTCCCCTGTCTATCTCGACTATCAACCGGTATTAGTAGGAGAAATGGTAGTTTCAGACCATACAGAATCCCCTATATTCATGTAGCCGAGTCTTGGCTCCTTGTTATACTTGCGATGAGCCCTCGTGGATTTGCTGTGTTCTCCTTTGTCACTTTTATTTTATTTTCGTCCAATTGCTGACTCCGTAAACTGCACGCGATGGGAATGTCCACTGCCTGGTAGAACATGTGTACAATGGGTTTCTTTCCATTGGTTTTCGGGATAATGCTAGAGGTCTGGGGCATGGATGGCAGGTGTTGAGAAGTCGCGCTTTCCTCCGGGGGAGGTTGGCTACAGCAGTATGAAATTGATAAGTTTGTCAGGGTTATAAATAGGGATATCCAGTACAGTGTCAATAGAGAATAAGAATTATCTCAGTATCATCACTCAGTATGGTGTATACATCTACTCTCCTCTCCTTACTTGCCCTGTCCACGGGGACGTGGGCAAGTTACAATGCGAACTTGAACTATCGCAGCCCTTCGACCCGCCACACAGGCATGGGAATAAACATCGACTCCGTCCATCGTCGCAGTCTCGCAAAACGTGATGAAGCCCCCTTCAATCCCTCTCAGTTAAACTTCACCCATGGTGTAGCATCAGGTGACCCCTACGCGGACAGTGTGATCCTCTGGACTCGTGTCGCTCCCTCCCTGGAGGCTGACAGAAGCAATGTGACTGTGTCGGGGACCGTGGGGTTGTACAACCATGATACCGAACCGTATATCAAGGCCTCGGCGCACCCTATCTGTGTCGACTATCGGGTGTATGAGGATAAAGAGGGCCGAAGAGTGGTCGATAAAGGGAGGGCTTATACTACCAGTGACATTGACTATACTCTAAAGGTATGGCGACATATATCCTGTTTCTGAATTATCGTATTGACTGTCCGATAGGTAGAAGCTAGTGGACTCAAGCCGTTCACGACGTACTGGTACCAATTCCAAGTTTGCAACTCGAATGTCACCAGTCCGCTTGGAAGGACCAAGACTGCCCCGGGCGCCGATGATGCTACCGAGGAAATTAACCTGGCTGTTTATTCTTGCAGTAACTACCGTATGTGCGCACTTCTCTAATGTATTCTCGAGGCTAACATAACTAGCGAATGGATATTTCAACGCATATGGAAATGCCGTCCGGAAGGACAGCGTCGACTATGTACTCCATCTTGGAGATTATATTTATGAAACTAAGAAGGGTGTAGTCGGACGGGATGAGCGAGCTGTCCGTCCGGAGCGAGAGATCTTCTCTCTCTACGATTATCGGACTCGGCTTGGGCATGTATGATCCTCTCTCCCTCAACCCATTATGAACCCTACTAAAGATTCGTAGTATCGCACTGATCTCGACCTTGCCGCGTCCCATCAGAACTTCGCTTGGATTCCTGTCTGGGATGACCACGGTATGACCATATATTTAGCCTACTAGCACACCTCGCTGATGATATAGAAATCGCCGACAACGGATACAGAGACGGCTTTAGCCATCTCAACAACACAGAAGAATCCTTCCGCAATGACAGCCCTCAAATCAGCGTCGACCAGCGCAAGATGAACGCCGTCCGGGCGTATTTCGAATGGATGCCTCTTCGGTTTGTCGCCCTGATAACTTCAGTCCTGTGACAATCATTCTAATATTGCTCCAGTCAAGTCGACATGGACGATGGCCTCCGCATTTGGCGCTCTTTCAAAATGGGAAACCTTTTTGATCTGATCATGTTGGATACTCGTAATTACGATCGCAGCATTACTGACCTTTGTACGTCTGTTCCTCTAAGCGAAGAAGGATTAAGCTAACCTGTCAGATTGGAATACGGACTATATCGAAGAGATCCACAACGACGCCGGTCGGACCTTGATGGGAGGTCGTCAGGAGTCGTGGTTCGAGAAGCAGTTGACGGCGTCTAACGAGCGCGGAGCGAAGTGGCGTATTATCGGGAGTCAGCTTCGCTTTGCTCGTCTGGGACGGGAGACTAATGGAGAGGTTACGTATAACATGGACTCTTGGGAGGTGAGTATTCCCTGTCTGCTTAGGTATTCAGGTTGCTAATAGAGTAGGGCTACCGCGCGAACCAAAACCGTACGCTGAAGCACCTGTACGATAACAACATCGGCAATAACATTATGATCGCGGGTGATACACATGTCAACTGGGTGAGTCTTTCGATAACGGTATATGTGCAGCCACTAACTAGAGCAGGTAAGCGATATTGCCTGGGTCGGCGAGAAGCCTTATGACGGTAACACTGGCGTTGGTGCCATCGGAGTCGAATTTGCTGGCACAGCGGTGAGCAGCTCCGGGTTTGGGGGTACTATCAACAGCGCCGAACAGACTGCTGCTTCTTACGCGCGCAATGAGGATCTACAATGGAATGAAGGCTACTACCGCGGGTACTTTGAGCTGCGGATGAGACAGAACGAGATGGAGGCGAGATACTTTGGTATGCTAGATTATACCCTTTGTGATTGTGCGTACTAACTGACCTTATAGGATGTCCTACTGTGGCTACCCGGAATAGTTGGGAAATCCCTCTGGCCAACTTTACGGTCAAACATGATGATAACCATCTGGCTCGACCTATTGCTGGTGGACAGGTGGAAGCGGGTTTTACCCATCAGGGCGAGGTGAAGCACAGCAACCTTACACTTAACACGGAGACGGGCGAGTGGCAGGTTATTGGGTTTGACCAGATGTTTGTTAAATATCAGTAATTGGCTGCATGTATAGATTGTAGACTGTTTAAAAGTACACCAGTCGAGGCGACTATTCATCGAAATATATATGATTTACCTTGGCTATTCCTGGATTCTATATGCAACATCATTACTTAAGTAGAATGGATCGTTTTTATTAATTCAAATGATCTGGCACCCTGCACGTGCTCAGAAAGTGTAAGAAGGACCACGAGATACCCCTCAGCCCTAAGGCGCATCATACGCTGACCAGCCAGACAAGATCATAAAAGGGCCTCTTTCATCGTATCCCAAACCCGAAACAGCTCATGTATATATACATCTGAACAATATAGATTAAAGTACATAGATCAAACAGTTGCTCTCAGAAAAAAAAAGCGGACCTAACCCAACACAATCCTCCAATAACTACTCTCATAAACAACCCCCCAATACCTACACATCAACAGCCATACCAACTCTCTTATTAACCATGGATATATAACTAACCTATAATACCAAAAACAAAAGCAGAATACCCACAAATTCACATGGATTGCCAACCGCCACACCCGAAAGACACATGGTCCCCACATATCTAACCCAATGTCGCCATTGCCCCCGTTTCTCATCTTTTCCAAAACAGTCCCATTGGGCATAGATTGACACTGCAAGACCCACTGCCGATTCGTCCGGTTATCAATCAGCGCCTGGTTACTTTTTAGGCTGCTTTTCATTCTATTAATTTCTTTTCTCTTTTGGATTTAAAGTCAGTCTGGTCTTTCTCTTTTTGATTGTTCTTACCTTTCACTCTACTCAACTCAACTCTGCTCGACTCTCTCCACTCAACGTATATTCATTCCTTTTTGTCTATTGAAAGATACAGATACAGATACTATAATCGAATCATTCATTCTACTTCTTTTCCTTCCTATCACGGTTCATAATATAATATCCTCTCTAATTAAAAAGAGAATCCCCAATACCAACAGGTCCGTCACATCCCTTATCCCTAACACCAACGCCTCAACTCGACTTACCTAATTAACACCACCCCCAGTCACCAAATCATATAAGAAGAAAGCAAAAATGGTCCTCATAACCCGCGGCATCTCCCTCACCAACTTCCTCGTCGCATCCTCCGCGCTCGCCTTCCAGGTCTTCGTCCTATATCCCTGGCACAAGCAACTGGATGAGAGCTTCGAGGACCTGAAGAAGGAGCATCTGAAGGTCCTACAGGTTTTGGATCGGGTTGAACATGGCAAGGCTGGGGGCAATCTGGGTATTCGGGAGCAGATTGAGATGAAGAAGCAGGGTCTTTAGAATATACTTTCCATCTTGGAATGGGGATATTAGTTTGAACTTTTGGGGGGGTGGTGGAGGAGGAGGTTGGGTTTTGAGTAGCGGAGAGCTGGTGTATAGACTGTATAGTCTTACTGTCTAAGTTCTTATAGAGGATAGATTTATGAATGTCATTATTCTTTTGTTTTTGCTCTGAATTTATCTCTGAATTTATAATGGACTGTTGGTGTGGTTGTTGCTCGGTTTATTATCTTCATTGAGCTTTTTTATTGAAAATTTTGTAGAAAACGTTCGACATTGGTTTCTATTCCAGGGGATTTTTGTCATTTCCCCATACTTTTTGTTCGATGTTGACGGTTTGTCGGCTCCGACTTGTGCCGAGTCGGGTCCGACACTGGGCCGAGATATCTCCTTTATCAGTTTATCAACTGCTGTTGATTGTCGAGGTTTGATGCTTTGGATAAGATCTGGGGAATGTTTACATACGATAATAACGTTTGTGGAGTACTCCAGTCGCCAAGGTGGAGCTCTAATATTTTTTAATTTGATATGTACATACATCCTTCACATCTATCAATCATTTATCTACGCGAATGGGATCGGTATCATCTGAGCAGTCGTAATTTCATCTAGATCATAGATTTCGCCGGACGATCGCTGCCAACATCAGAAGACGCTCCATCCAGTCATCGCAGTCATTCTTTACATGCACATTCACAGATACAAAGAAAAAAAGCACCAAATCACAATCCATTCAACAACAAGAATTTTAAAGGGGGAAATCAACCCACTATGCAAACAAGTACTTGGCCGCGTGCTCGACATGGTCATCCGCGAACGTCGCCATTGTGTAGTAGCTGTGGTCGTAGTCGGGCTGATAGCGGACCTTCAGACCCTCGACGCCGGCCTCCTTGGCCGCCTTCTCGAGGTTCTCGGGTAGAAGTTGGCCCTGCTTGTAGAAGTTGTCGCCGGTACCCTGTTTCGTTTCATTCAGTATAAGCCACACAACAGACCAAATAAACAAGACATACCACGTCAATGAGCACATCCAACGGCCCCTTCCACTTCTTCACGAGCTCCGATGCGTCGTGCTCCTTCCACTTCTCCTGCTGGTCCTCACCGAAGTAGCCGCCGAAGGCCTTCTGGCCCCACGGGCAGTTGACGGGGTTCGAAATGGGTGCGAAGGCGGAGACAGACTTGTACTTGCCGGGGTTGCGGAGGAACTATCCGTTATCAATACCTATGCACAACCTCGAGAGTAAGGAAAGCAGGGAACATACGAGAGTCAGGGCACCATGACCGCCCATGCTGTGACCGGTAATACTGACACGGCTCTCATCCAGCTGAGGGAACGCGGCAAAGACGGTCTTGGGCAGCTCCTCCGTCACGTAGGTGTACATGTTGTAACCACCCTTGTAGGGCTCCTTGGTGGCATCGACGTAGAATCCGGCACCGGTACCGAAGTCCCAGGAGTCATCCTCACCCTGGATGTTCAATCCTCCTGCATCCTTGTTAGCCGTTTTCTACTCTCTTCGACATAGCTCGGTTGTTTATCGCGACATACTCGGGCTGGTGTCAGGGTACAGCACGGCAATACCCTTCTTGCTGGCGCCGTGCTGGAAGAAGCCCTTCTCGGAGCAATTGTTGGCGGTGCAGGTCAGACCGGACAGGTAGATGAGAACGGGGACTTTCTGTGAGGGGTTCTGGATGGCCTGGGGTGGCAGGTAGAGGTTGAAGGACATTTCACAGCGGGTGGAGGTGGCGGCATGGCTGAGCTTGAGGAGCTTTCCGCCGAAGGAGGCGATGGTTGCTTGCGTTGTGACGGACATGATGTGATTTTGTTGGTGATATAGAGGATGCGAAACTCGTGAGGAAGTAAATGAAAAGAAGAAGCAGAAGAAGAAACAGAATTCTATGGGGCTGAGAGGGATGGGGAGTTAAATTGACGTTGGTGTGGGTGTGGATCAATGAGGAGGAGTGGATGAGGGGAAGAATTGATGAGGGGCAGAATCAATTGATTGATACACAACAGTAAAGTCCAGCAACACCCCCCACATCTACCAAGTTCTCTTCCCGCTTACTATAAAACTGATGGAAATTTCCCCTCATCACTGACAAGAACTTTTATTCTTGCACGCCAAAGGTCCCCACCTCGGGGATATTTTTGCTCTTTTAGGATACATATGAGAGCATGGTGGACCAAATAGAAACATAATTTATGGTATTAAGAAAAAGGTACCCTCACGCCATGAAAATGCCCTAATAACAATGCTCAATGCTTCCTGTACCATAGAAAATAATCATCACCACAGAAACAAAACGCTCACTCTACCCAGATGCTTATTCCAAAAAGACCGACGGAACGCCATAAATCACCGGCGCCGCTCCGTTCAAATACTTCAACACACATGCCGGTCGCGACTGCGACACGGCTTCGTCCAACGTCGCCCCGTCCGATCCGGCATCAAACAGTCCCCATTTCTCAAACGTAGACTGCGCAAATCGATCGATATCCTTATCCGTAACATCCCAAAGGGTCGCAACAAGCGCCGGGCTGCCAGCGTGAAGATAGTTCATGGGCGTCCCGTAAGGCTCGTACTCACCCGCCTCCGTCAAGGTACCACTGCTGCACCCCATCAGGAAAGCAACGGCACATTGCTCCAGTCGCTTGACGGTCCGACCCCGGATGTATTGTGCTCCACTGCCGTGTCCAAAGTACAGGAAGAGATTTGTCGTCTCCAGCCCGCGCTTGAACTCTTCTTCGCTCGGCTCGCGCTGCATAATACCAGTCCAGCCCTGCAACGCAGAGAGATCCTTCTCAAACGTGCTCTGTGTTGTGCGCAGATCGCCAGTAGGATTCAGAATGTACGTGCCACTATTGCGATCAATGCCCACGCCCCGGGTGATGTCAGAGTTACGCTTGTTCTGGAACTGCAGAACTCGGTCACGTAGACATTCCAGCGACGGCACACGGCACACAGGGAACCCCTGGAGACATGGGAGAGATTCCCACGGGAAGAGGTGTAGAGATTTATCAAGAACCAAGACGGTATGGTTCGGGCTGAGTTTGCCCCGGCGGCTGCTGGCGGCGTCATGGTAGGCACGAACCGTGTCGAGGGTTTCAACCACCATCATGTCAAAATCAATCTCATCGTAGGCATTGCGCTCGCCCTGGAACTGTAGAATATCCACCACAAAGTATAAAAGATCCATCAACGTCTCTTCCGGATCTTCTTGGTCATCCAGGTCCGCCACACCGATAAACAGTTCCAGCACGTTCGGGTGCAGCGTCAGGCGCGGACCCTCTGCCCGACCACCCTTCTGTCGAGAGGGAAGGTGTTTATCCAAGATGGATTGGAATGAAGACGCAAATCGAGCGAGAGAAGTAGTATCATGAGGCACGGGGGAGAAGATTCCTCGGAATCCCCCGAACCACACATTCTCAATGTTCTGAAGCAGAGTCTCCATCCGGCGGTCAAGAGTTTCACGGTTCTTCCACCAGTCCTTCTTCATCTGCCGATCAGTTTGAGCTTTGGCCGCGTGAGAACTTTCGTTGGCCAGCTTGATCAGTTCCTGCATCTCCTCCCGTCCGTCATCGAAAGTGAACTGCTCGTCCTCCTCCTCCTCAGAGTTACCTCTTTTCAGCGGAAGCCGCAAAAGGAATGGTGAACGACCTTGATGCAGTCGTGAGACAATAAACTCGCTACGGTCGGCGCTCAACGACAAAGAAAGAACGTTCCAGTTGTCGGGCAGGATATCAATGTATTCCTCCACAAATTTCGAGTTACACAGATCCTCGGGGTCCGCCGTCATCGGGGAGGGCGTAGGCCAAAGAAGCGGGTCGTTATATTCCGCCAGCTGCTTGTCAAGATCAATGGCAGTATGCTCGCGCGTAAAAGCACCGATACGGCCAAGTTCTACAGAGGTTAGCGGCATATCGCGTGAAGAAAAAGCTGGTAGACTTACCATTAACGTTAGCAGGAGGTTGCGACCAGGCGGATGTGCTCTCGGTGGTCGTAACATGAGACAGCATAGAGATACGACTCATCAAGCGTGAAGCGGAGTGGCTATCCAAGGTGGAGCCCACGGTAGTAGCAGTAGCAAACACATTGTTGAGACAATCGCCAGCCTTGGAAAGCATCACAGCGAAGTCTTCACTTGCTGTCTGCGCTCGAGACCGTGTCCCTCTAGCGGGTGCTCGAGGCTTCCGAGCCGTAGTTTTGGTGGCAGCCTTAGATGTGCTCGTAGTCGTACTTGGCGATTGCAGGGAAGGCAGCGAAATGGTTGATTCGGGAAGAACACAGTACACAGCATGGGAAGCAAAGTGGCGAATAGCCTCTGCGAGGAAATGCTCACTTTCCCCAAGATGAACCGAGATCTGACTGTCCCTAGAGACTGCATATTTCCGGGCGTTGTTAAGCAGACATGAGGCTTTCTCGAAATCCCGTAAGGAGCGGCAGCAAGCGGCCTGTTGTCGCAGGATGTCGCTTCTGATCTGCAGCAGGGATTTTGATTCAGTCACGGCGTCGGTGTCTTTTGAAGGGGTGGCATCTGCCTTGGTGGGTTTTCTACTTGAGGTAGTGGCACGGGTTCGGCGAGTGGTCGCGGCGGGCTGCTTCGTCCTTCTGCTGCTCGGTCGGATTCGGAGACTCTCCATTTTGTCTTCAAGGTCCGGGACACCCGAGGAAACAGAAGTCGCATTGGACACATCCAGGCTTCCAAAATCAGCCATGATCCGGTCCGCCTCCAGAAGGGCCTGGAGCTCATCACGGTAGTGGCCCTGTGCTCTATAAAGAGAGGCAAGGCCCATCTGCAGCGATGCGAGCTCAACGCTGCTCTCCAGCTGCTTAGACAATTTCTCCGCAGCGGTGAGGAGCTCTTGGCCTTCAGAGATATGCCCTCCGAGAATCCAATGTGACCCAAGCTGCGCTTGAGAATTGATCAAACGAACAGGCGCGTTCAGTGTCTTGTTGATCTTCAGCGCCTGCTCACCGTAGTAGATGGCATCCTGGAACAGGCCGTGGTGTGCAGATAGACTGGCAAGGTTCAAAAGAGAGGTGTGATGCGAGCCGATGTGCGGCCAAAAAGGGGCTCCTTGTGTATAGACAGAAGCCGTTGTAGAGTTCGCCTGCGATACATCAAGCTTGGCCATAGTTTCAACAACATTGTCAAGCTCGGAGCTATCCCCTACGGAAATAACAGGCACAGGCAAACTCTTTTCCTGTTTCCTCTGGGAGATTTTCTCAACCTTGGCCCAGATCCTGCAGTTCAACCGGACAGATAGCTTAGCGAAAAAGAGCGCGTCCTTGATGACTCCCTGGGCAAAGGAGAGCTGCGAACTCATAAAAGCTGCATCCGCGACCAACCTTTCCCAGGCAATCTTGGCCAAAACAGAGCAGCTGCTCAGATCCTGCTTCTTCTGATTTTTCTCATAGAGACATCTGGCTGCTGATAGGTTGGCCGCCGCCTTTTCAGTCTCGCCCGTTTCAAGGAGGTACGCTACCTGTGCCAATTTGTGTGATAAGGTAGCCAGGCAAGATACGTTAGGGCTGAGGTACTGCTCTACGCGAGCCAGAAGATCACCAGCCTTCTTGCAGTATCCAAGTCGACAATACTGCTGCGCTAGACGCGCGATTACGATGATGGCTTCGGAAAAGTCACCGCCTTCTTGAAGCTCCGTGACACGTAAGACCAGTTCAAGCGTTGAAAGCTGGAGCTTCCAAAGCCCATGGATCTCTGTGTAGTCAACTACGGCCTTCAGTTGAAGGAGGTAGTGTTCAACATCGCCGACGTATTGGATTAGGGTTACTCCATCGCTGCAGTTGCGCATCAAAGAGGTCCAGGAGGATATCATGAGGTTGAGAGTCTCAGGTTGTAGGTCCCCCTGCAAAAGGCCAACACCAAGGCGCACAGAATTGTGCAAATGAGTCGCTAAAGTCGCCAAAGGACCATCCTCAGCGTAGTCCCCAAGTTCGATAACCTCCAAACCTTCCTCAAGTAGATCTTGTAATACTGTCGACTCCAAACAGTTCGGGCGCTCCAGGGACGAACGCAGCCCGCCCAAGAGTACTCGTAAGCGACGAATGGGATAGAGTTCCGGATCGTAGAGCCCAAGCAGCTTGGACACAAGGCAGGTAAAGTGTGACCGAAAGGCTTCGTCGCTGGAAGCATGTGAATGTAGCTCTGTCAAGATGCCCATTTGCCATTCCATGATATGGCCTCTTACCAACAGCGATTGCGACTCGTCGTCAAAGAAACCGTTAGACTTTGACTTACCACGCAGCCTAAGCTGCAACTTCAGGTAAGCAGTAAGGACTCGGCCAAGCATGAACCCGCTGCTTTTGGGATCTTGGGAGGTTCGGTGAGGAAAGTTGGGACTAGATATCAAGCCGTTCAACACCCCTGTGTCGATATGCTCTTGGATGGCCTGGGAGAAAGCTTGTTCGGCTTCTGCGCCCCTGTTGCCTTCCATGTAGAGATATGCAAGCCGTTCGAACTTCAAAGCCGCAAACCCCGTGTTTCGTTGTTCTGGTGAGCAGCTGGACAAAAGATTCGCAGAGTGCTTCACCAGAGGTACTAGTTCACGATATCCCTTGCCACACTCTTTCTCCTTCAGATAACGTGACCAAAACAGATTTGACAACCGAACGAATGCTGCACCAATCTGCTCGAGTACTGATGAGTCGGCTTGTTCATCTGCGATGTCAATAGCCGTCAAAAGACGCTGACAATCTGTCAAGGCGGAAAGCACATCTTCCCAGGCAGGCCTTTGTGACATGATTGAGAATTTACCGACAGCTAGCGCTGAATCAACCGCCGAGAGGACAATAGTTCTGCATGCGCGAACCCGCGTAGTAAACAAGCCATCCTCTTTTGACTCGTCATCGGACGAGGATGGCCGGCCAATATATCGACGCAAAAACCGCAGGAAAGCAGGAAGAAATTCATAAATTTGGGAAATGTCGACTCCATTCTTCTCGCCTGCCTTCGTAACCAAGTCTCCATAGGCACTCATGGTAAGCTTTTTGAGTTTTGCTGCTTCAACCAACAACTCGTCGAGGTCACTGAGACTCCCTTTCAAGGGCATGCTCAGTGAGGAGGTCGCATCAGATACGACATTCGTAACCTTGTCGAGTGATGGTTTGGAAGATTTCCTAGCTTGAAGGTGCAAAGATGCAATTTTGCAACGAACGGTGGCAAGCGAGAGGCATTGCCCACTTGAGAGTGGGTTGACAGCTTCGGTAAAAAGCTTCAGAGCTTCGTCAAAGCATCCGGCCTCTTGAGCAAGCTGGCCCAGTATAGTGGCAATTTTGGCGACCAAGACATTATCTCTCAAACTGGCCGTGGTGCGCTTCTGCGTATTAGCAACGGCGGTTTGGAGTCGAACGATTGTTTTGTAGATAGACGCAAACTCAGCTTTCTCGACAGTTTTGCTATGATGAGAGTAGTTGCCAACGTAACGCGTCAATGGATCCCACATTTCTTTCCCTTCATCGCAGGTGTGACGAGACAGTTTCCAGCTCATGCATCTGATTTCCAAGCACAATAGTTGAAGAGACAACGAGGTAAACGGCTTTAGACGATCGCGAGTTGTGCTGCTATTGGACGGCTGGTGAGCTCCAGCCAGAGATAGTACAGTATTGGAAAGCAGTTGGAGTTGAAGTGCTGCTTTGTCTTTCGTGAGTGCCCCCGATTCCGTGGCCGCCACGATGACATTAGCCGGACTGCTCAACTCGGACAACTGCAGTGAAGACGCGACTTTCTGGACAGTTGCAGGTTTCTTTTCGGATGCTATCAGTCGTAGCGCATTAGACTGAAAAGGAACCAGTACGCTCAGCACCGGGCCGGCATGGTCGAAATTGGTAAACGTAAGCAAATCCGACATCCGTTCTTTGGTGGCTTCCTCCTCCTGAACCTCAATCTTCCTCCTACTCGTAGTCTTTTGTCGTACTGTAGCCTGGTTATCCAAGTATTGTTGTAATCTTCTCTTAAGGCCTCTCAATTCTTTAGAAGCCATGTCATTCAGCCCCAATGACAGATACCTCCCCGCCAAGACACATGCACCTTGCTCCAGCTGCATGTTTGGGAATCCTTCCTGCTGATCAAGTTGTTCACCCTTCAAGCTCCTTAAAGAAGATAAGGCCATGCTTGCGCATTCCGCCACAGCAATTAACCCAGTATCCAGGCCATCCTCCTGTGATGTCTTCAGCTTTCTGGGGGATTTCGCGCCACGACTCGGCGATGGGGAGCTACACGCGGTCCGAGACCGAGCGTCGTCGCGTTTAGGACATAGTTTCGAGGCATCCGAGAGGGTCTTTAGGGTGGTGTTGAAGACATCCGTGGCGAGGATGAGCTTCTCTTGAGATGACAGACGCGCAGCGTCCATTTCCACGACTGTGTTGATGGCCGCTTCTTGTGCGGAGACTTTCGTCCCTCTGGATGACTTGGGTCGAGTGGAAGTCGCTGTAGTTTTTGTCGTCCTTGTTCCCCTCTTCACCGTGGCTTTATCAGACTCCGGTGACGTTTTCGATAGCCCGCGGAAAAGGGTCTGGAGAGAGATGACGGTGGCATTCGAACATGTTGACGTGGAGCGAACGGCCTGCTTCACCGATTCCACGGAGGAATCGGAGAGAAGAGTTGTGACCGCCATTGGTACAGTTGTATCGTTGCTGTGAGGATTAAAGGTTAGTAGTTCAGGCCATCCGGAATGTTCAATAACGTGGTAGCTTGTGTGGCTTGTCTCTGGTGACATCTGTGATGGTTATCGCTTGCCGTAAGCCAAGCCAAAGGCCGTTGTCGTAGCAACATCAGAGCCACTACACCCAGAGTGGTATAGCGGTGCCAAGGCTCCGAGACTCCGATGTCAAGGACTCTTTTCAATATCTCATGGATTTGAATCGTGAAAAGGACGTCGCAAACCCTCGCAACACACCCAAAATTCTAGCAAACATGTCTTTCACAAGGCTTTCCACCCGGTTTCTCTCGAGCACACGAGCTACTCCCCGGCTCATTGGGAATAATCCCATCCGAACACCGCACCAAATTCGTCTCGAATCCACCAGAGTACCACGATTAGCCCAAGCCTCAGTCTGGAGCTCCATGATCCCTAAATTCATCCGAAACCGTGGTACCAAGGAGACAACGGCTGACACTGCGAAATCGAAAGAATGGAACCCTGCTAGTTTCTATATCATCATATTCATCTTGATCGGGTCACAAGCGATCCGGATGATCGCGCTGAAGAACGACTACCGCGCATACACACGGACAACCGATGCTAAGATCACGCTTCTGCGAGAAGTGATTGAGCGGGTTAAGAATGGTGAGAAGGTAGATGTGGAGCGATTACTGGGGACTGGCGATCAAGGAAAGGAGAGGGAGTGGGAAGAGAGTTGGTTTTCCGTGCTCTTTTGCATTGAGGATCAGTTACTGACTTCTGCTGGGTAGTTTTGCGGGAGATCGAGGAGGAGGATTCGCTATGGCATCAGAAGTCAAAGGATCAGGAGCCAGATCAACAAGTTCAGTCGCAAGAACGCCAGGTGGAGAACTCGCGGAAGAAGGACCCAGTTATGCCCGCTGAAGGTACCGGAAATGAGGAGCCACCTGCAAATAGCCCCTCGAGACGAAAGATCAATTTCTTTTAAGAACATTTTCTATGGAATCAGCATGCTCTCGGGTCCGGATCTCAGCTGCATACCTTCGCGTTTCGACCAATGCAGTGGTGCTCTGACCTAAAAGTAACCCTCGTGAGCTATCCTGTTGATGCGGCCAAGGCTCGTTACTGTGATTGGTCATTGTGATACTCAATTCTGCATCTTTTGATACGCGGTAGGCTACATTGATTTTAGCGGTCTTATACAACTGCGCTAACGAAGGGTATATTTAAGGGGTCACCTGGCGTTGAGAAAATGTGTTCCACATTTACACTTACTATGTATATATAAGGGTCTATACCAGCTCTTATGAGATTTTATGATACCCATGTCATTTTGACCTACAATACTTTTGCTCTGGTGTATATTACTTTTGTTGGATGTCCAATCCTATAATATATATTTCACACGGTTCAAACCAAAACAAGGTACATATCACACAGTTCGTACCTGTACATTCGTATATAGGATAAATTCACACGGTCTAGGACATCTCATGCAAACTGGGAATAGTGCAAATCTCTATCCCTTCCCCGGTCTATTCCTTTTTGATACAATGTGCAAATGCAAGGTGGTTCTGTACGGGCATAAGAGAAAAAGAAACGGTCTTCCAATCAGAACCCCGGGTACTAAGCCAAAAGGAAACAGTTCAGACAAACAAAAGGGAGCAGAAGGTATTTCCAATCGAAGACAAACGAAGGCAAAAACGAATCCAAAACGTCGCTAGTGAATACAAAGTCATGCTTAGTTAGTGCTGGGTGTCTGCATAAACTTGGGCCATTTGTCGGCCTGAGGAATCTTGACACGGCCAATGTTCTCATCGAGATCCAGGATCAGCTTCAGAGCGTTTCTGGACCGGAGATATGGCAGAGGAGCCTTGGCACCCTGGAGGCCGACGCCGGGCTCAATTTGACCACTAGGCGTGACCTCCTCGTGCCCGGGCATGGGCAGCCACTTCTGCAGAAGTTCATATGATGCGAGGGTGAAACCGAACTGAGGAGAGGAACGAATGATACGGGCAGGACCACCCTTGAAGAAGGCCTTGAAGCCCTCCTCCTTCAAGATAGTCTGGGCACAATGACGCAAACCAGTGTATCCGACTTCACCCTTACGAGCCTCGACCTGGAGACGGGTCTTGATGACATCGCACGGGGTGGTCAGATAAGCGGCGGGCATACCAGCGATCGCACCAGCAGTCAACAACTGCACGACACCGAGCTTGTGCGTGGGAGATTCGCCAAAGAAGTCGCTCTTCAGGTGAGCGTAGGTTGGGAAATAAATCGCAGAGAATGGAACTATCGAGTCACATCGATTAGATTATAGGTCCCAAACGGGCAAGAGGTCCTTCTTACCATCACGGAGCAAACAGGCACTGGCTCCCTTGTACAGACCGACCAGACCCAAGTTCTTCACGATCCACAGGGCCGAACGACGAGGGGCACCCTCGACGTTTTTCGCAATTTCTCCCTGAACCTGCAGGCGAATCTTGACAATTTCCAGAGGGTTGGTGAAAATCTAGAGAGGGTCAGCGCGGAGTCCAGAGAGATGGCGTAACGGTGGGGAGCGGTGCAACTTACCACTTGACAACCTCCGGCCGTACCACCGGCAAGGATCTCGTAAGGATACCAGATCTTGCCGTTCTCCTTATTCGTAAAATGGCCACGGACCAAGTCGTTGACCGTCAGCTTGATGGCCTTTTCGGGCGCAACACCAATCAGCTGAGGCACGACTCCGGAATACAGACCGGTGAAACCTTCGTTACGGATGACCTTGCGCGCACAATCGAGTGAGTTGTTGTACAGTCTTTCGCCGACACGCGTAGACCGCTGGTTCTGCATACGAGTCTTGACCAAGTCAATGGGGTATACCATGAAGGCACCAAAAGCTCCTGCCAAACTGCCCAGCGCGAAGTGGTGGACCGACTCCAACACGTTGTACAAGAGCGACTTGGTCTTGTCCGCGGCCTTATGGGCGGTTGAGACGGCGGCTTGACCTGCAATGGCAAGGGGCATCCGCCATGATGCATCGATGACCTTGGCGAAATCCTTTTGAGCGAGTCGGCCGGAGGGGGCATCCAAGCCGGCGAAGTGGAACAGGATGTCCGCTTCCATGGGGGTGAACAGGGAGAAGCGAGTGATGCGGGCCGCCTCGTTCAAGAAGTCGGCGCGGGTGATCTTACCGTCATCACTCTTCTGGGTAGCCTCCCGCACAATGACATCAATCATGTCCATCTCGCGCATGATGTTCTGGAAGGCACGGACAGTGGCATAGGAGATCTTGGTGCCGGTGGAGATGTTGCACAGACTGGGAAGGTGTTCTAGCACGTAGTCCGACAGCTTGTGTTTCGAGGTTTCCAGGATAATGCGCTGGAAGTCTTCGGGCTCTATGTAGCCATCGCCGTCTTTGTCGAAGATGTGGAAAGCTTGGCGGATGCGCTCCCCTTGCAAGCCTCGGAGCATTTGCGCGAATTGAGGGTAGGTCATGTCATGGCGACTCTTTGTGCGTCCGGTGTACAGGGAGGCCCATTCCGAGTTCCAATCGAATGGAATGCTATCCTTGTCCTTGTTCACGTTGTACAGATTCTTGAAGGTATCCCACTTGACGGTGCCTGTGCCATCGGTATCGAACAAACGGAAGGCGATCTCATATTCGGCATCGGGCTTCGAGAGGAGGTTCTCGAAGGTTGCCCAATCGCTGAGGCTGAGCTTGCCAGTCTGCTTGCGATCGGCAACCTTGAAGAGGATTCCGTAATGTTCACGCTTGATTTTGTGCTAGAAAGGGCGAATTGTCACGTTAGCTGGAGGTCATGCGAGCTCCGCGGCGGCGATGACACATCATCGTTGTCGCAACATGAATACAGCACAAGACTCACATAATCCTCATGCTTGGGGGCAATAGCATTGATGAAATCGTCTTCCGTCATGTACAAGTCTTCGGTGCCCTCATCCTTGCGTGCGTGACGAAGGAAATTCGTCTTGGCCTGGTGTGATGGTTGTGACTGATCCGTACTGGAGCCAACCAAGGACTCTTTTACCGCGTCCTTGACAGTCATTGTGATATAAATATATATACGAACGCAACAAACGAAAGGAAGCAAGCAATTGATGCAAGTCACTGAAGAAACCTAGCTTCAGGACAGATGAACACTAACTAGGAAGGCCAACCCAAGGGATCCAAACAGGAAAAGAATGGGATTATGAAGGGGTTGGGTTGGGATAAGGGAAAGTGTGTGGAGAACGGAAATTAGTTAAGAAAAAAAAAATGGGGGGAAGCGTAAGTGATAGTGCCAAAAGAAGATCAGTTGTTCTGGGGATTGAACAATGACTGTGTTGGTTTTTGTCTTTAATTTTTATTTTTATTTTTTCTTTTCAGCTTTTCTATGAGGGAAAAAAATTGAAAAAAAGTTTGCCTTTATTATTTTACTCTTTTTTTTTTTTATCTTCAACCTTTTTTTTTTATTTGCCTCTTGAAGATCAGATACGCCGGGTAATAACCTCAGGCTGCCAATCACTGCATAGTTCGCAGCTGACAGGCCACCCTGCGAGACAGCCATAATAACACTAATAATAATAATAATAAACATGAATAAAAATAACAAAATAAAAAACTCGGACAAGTCACGCTGGCCACTGGAACCCGACACACCGCCCCTGGAATGCGTTAAATTACCCGGTACGGTGATTGATTTCGCAACTCGGGACAGGAAGCCGATGGTTTCTGATTTATCTCCGCATCTCTCCTCATATTGTCTGTTAATAGTTAAGTACTAAATACCTCGTCGCTTCGTTTGTCTACAGAGTACACTGGCCTTGGAACATTTGGTATATACACCACAACATCCAATATTTCAATTGCCCCGAGCCCGGTTCATACGTGGAACTGTCACATTCCCAACCCAAAGAAAAATTTGGTTCCAGTAACGTGAGCTTGATTGGTGGTTCCGAGGCAGCGTTTGGAAGGGGACGAGATTCTGAGCCACACACACGGTAAAGTCCGGAACGTCTGCCCAGCCATGATTCGACACCCGCACCGGCTGACCCCTGGAGCATCACCGAGACTTCCAGAAGGCGTTCAAGAAAATTCTGTGGACAGGGATTGCAATGCAGATAAGAGATGAACTCCAATGCGATCCGAAGGGACAGTCGATCTCCCTCACAGTTCCCTTCATCTTTTTATGTATACACCGATCGTCTCATTGTTGGCATCAATGTCGAAATCCGATGAACGATTCGTTAGTATTGACTACTATAACCTGACTAATGGCTCTCTTCACATGACACGTCTTGGTCCTCGCTGCCCCCATTTCGGGCCGATGTGAGCGGGTGGAAGCCCACAAATGGTCGACAGATGCCTCCGTTCTCGGTGGGGGGGAAAGAGAAGCCGGCGGGTCCAGATTTGGAGAACCAGGAATCACGCTAAGGTACAGTAAGGCTGGAGTCTTGGTGCCTGAGGCCAGAACGTTTTAGAGCCTTGGCCCCGGCTGTTCTCCGTGTCCTGGTCCTGTGACCCTGCACGTCCAAGGGTTCGATTCGGTTCTCGTCCGATGTCCATCATCGTTTTAGTCGATCTGGATAAACAGAACCTCATCTCGGTAGATCTCTTTTCCATGTTGCCAGCAACTGGAAAAGTGCAGGGGAAATACAAATTCTAAAAATCGTCACCGCTTGTTCAATAGATTAACCCAATCCTCCTCGCTTAACAACCAAACCGTATGATCACATCTTCAGGCATCGAAGAAGATACTATTGGAAATCTCACCGAAAACAACAAATTGGTCTAGTACCGCCTCTCGGCATCTTACGGAATGACAAAATTTCTCCAAGAAACTACCACCATGATTAAAGCTACGGATTTGGCAAATCTCATGCGGGGAAAGGTGTCTAACCTTGCCCGGGAGGGTAGTGGATCTGCATAAGCAGATAAAGTGCATCGCCGTAGGTTTATTAAATTATTAAGTAAAAAGTACTGCTAAGACTCCATCTGTTCTGCCGAGTAGAGTATGTCTACCCGGGCCCCGAAACGCGTCATTCGGGTAATTGAGGGAAATTGTTACCACGTCGAGCGAAACTGGGGTGATGTGATCTGTGGATTAGCTCTAGTAGTCTGAAGCTAGTAAGGTTATGTTGGGGTTTATGCGCATCTGGCATATTGCTGACTTGATGTTACTCATTTTCTGCGGAGGTACTCAGATCGGACTGGGGTAGTGGAGGGTAATTCATGGGCAATTAGATCAATTTTATAAAATATCAGTATGGGGTAAGATATGATAACCCGACTACTAATTAGAATTAACAGATGAGGTCTGGAAAGTGGACAACAATATCCTGTAGACGGGTAGTATTAGCAATACGTAGCAAGTTGAACCAAATATATATCTTATGTCACACACGTGATCGCAATCTACGTTACCTACATAGTAGGACGAGTATATTCTTTATCCAAAACAACAAAGAACTCCGACAGTCAAATTACACAGAGAATACGACTCCAACTGCCAGTAGAAGCCTTGCGTTTAAATCAATATATACTCGCGTTGCTGTACCAACCCGGATAAATTGAGAAATCTCACTTGGCGCGCCTCTCCCCTTTGAACCTCCTACAAGGGCCTACTTACGCGCCGAGGAGCAACTGAAACGAACATGTCTTCCATGAACGACTTTTACTTGAATGACATGTAGCTTTCGGGCTGATTATATCACGGAAACTCCGTTTTTAACGCCTCTTCGACCTTTTCGCTTGCATTCAGCATTCCGTCATTATCCCATTTCCTGCAAAGCCCGGAAGACCGTGCACTACCACAATCAATTTTGTGGCCTTCTTTGCTCTCATACGTCAAGATGTAACACTTCATCCCGTTATCTATACGAGTCCATCGAGGATGTGGAGAAATTAGAAATCTACAAAGTAGGTGTTATCGCCCTACAGCAGTCAGGGACCAGTTTCACGATCGCGACATAATAGGTTCATCAACGGTGGAGATCAATCAATCGAGAGATTTATCGGTTGTGGGACGACCGACCCAAGGACAGCGTACAGAAACCTCGACATGGAAAGGGGATGCCGCCTGTTGAATCAGCGGAACGGGCTGCAGTTTTCTGGATACTGCGGTCCATGCTTTCATCCAGGTCTGAAAGTCATCCTACTGCCAAGTAGATTTTCGAATCCAAATGGATGGTGACATGGACACTAACTGCGTATGACAAGATTTGAAAGACTTGGTCACAGCACGGAACAACACTAGTCAGCTTTATACGTTGTGGGATTCTTCATCTTGCCCATTTAGGGTTTGAGAGCGTGGCTTCTGTTCCAATAGACCGATCCCTGTTTTGAAATCCGTTTCTAGGCAAATAACGCAGTTCTGTGTAAAGATCCTATACATAATCCTATCTCACGATGCAAAACATGCATCCCCTCGGCGATACAGAGCTGTTCAGGCTTCCACTTTTGCTAGCTCAAAGCAGCCCTCTCGCACCATGCGTTGTGGACCGCTATCTCGACGAGTGTCCAGTGCGGCTAAGGTATAATAGTACGTATAAGATGCAAAAGTCTAGTGGAGAGGGGCTGGGGTTCCCCAGAAACCCGAGAAACGAAAATGAACGAAACACGACTATGCTTGATGGCATGTTGCAGGCACTTGTAACAGACGAGACGTCACCTACTTCTCCTATCAATCAACTCTCTGGGTGTATATTCATCATAAACAGCCCGGAGACCACACAACGCCCCAACCCACGCCCCAAACCCTACGACCACATGCGTAAGCATCCATCGCACATAGAACGGCCCACCCACAATAACAGGCCAATTATCCAACCTATGAAAAATAGTCCACAACTGAAGCATAAACACCACGCTTCCAAACCAGCCCTTCCCAGTGTGCTCCAAAATAACACTATTCAAGTTTCGAAAGAAGACTTCCTTCAATCCATCCGTGGGATCGGTCCACTCCTGGACGACCAGTTCTTCATCGTTGAAATCGGAGTCATCATCAAGAGCACGACTCCACTCGTGAACGACAAACTTGGGGATTGCAATGATTCCATCAGACGCACGGTATGTGTAGGTACGGCTTTGAATGGTAACTTTGGCTGCTCCTTGGATGATGCGTAGGTACTCAGTGTGGGTTTCGTGCCAGTGCGAGCCTGATGTCCATGGACTCTTGGGCGGGAGAATGATGGTCACAGTTGAAGAGGAGGGTTCTGGGAGAATGTATGTGACTTCACCTGGCCGGGTGAATGTGCGCGTGTCCTTAGTTTCTGTGCGAGGCATCTTTGTGATTTGAAACCAAGAATTGTTGGAGAATGTCTGCTATAAGTAACCCTGGGGGCTTATGAATGCACTTGCGGACCCGTTCCGCGTGGATGATTAATGAGGATGTAGTTTACTAACGTATGAATATAGATTTTTAATCTTAATAAAATACTTTTACTAATAAGTCAAAGAATTTATATATTGGAGATAGATAGAGAACAAATTAAGCATCTGAAAAAAGATTCTATAGAACTATAGAAAGTCGTAAAATAAACTATTCAACCTAGTGCAATAGGCCTTTCATATCAGATAAATTCTTATCTTAGTCTCAAAGGCCTTAGTTTCCGTTAGAAAAACCTGTATGATAGGTATTCATGTGAATAATCATAATATATCTGGAAGTAGGCACCGAGTTATGCATATAACTATGCCAACTGTTTACACCAGAGTTAGAGGCAGTTTGCATGCAGCAAGAACGTACACTAGAGCGTAGTAGGGCAGCCACCGAGCCATATGTTACATAACACCGATATGAAGGCCACGGAAATACTGCTCTCCTTGAGACTGTAGGCATCGCTTAACTTAGGTGTTTGGTCGCCGAGTGTCGCATGATACATACGGACATACGTCCCCGCAGAAGAAGCTATTGGAAGGCCATTTGCGTTCTCAATGCTCAATCTACTCCAGTAGTATTTCCGTCCAAAGTTAGTAATGTGAGAAAGAATCCCCAAAGCTTCAGCAGTTTTGCTGTCCGGTATGAAGAAGTGTTGAATAACACTGATCTTTAAGGAGGGTACTCAGAGTAGGATGACCGTTCGGATATGATAGAGAACCGGAAGAGGATCGGACATTCCAATCTTGTTCTAAATGTGGGAGAAATATTATAAAAATTCAGATTTCCTATATTCGTCCAAGTCAGGAATATCATACCCTTATTTTGGTTACGTGTAGGATAGAATCTCTATTTCATATTTCATCCCAAGTTGTAACATTGATTGAATGATAGACTTAAAATTCAAGCGCTCTGTGCCATCTATCTCTCGTAGGATTATCACATACCAATCAGGGTTTGAAGGTGAGTTCACCCCGCTTAGTGTGATAGAGCCACTTGAGTGACAGATCCTTGTTATTGGGAACTAAAAATGGTCACTGCATAGCGTTTGTGATAGTGACGCAGGGTGAGCAACCCGGCGATGATCATTGGAAACTCTATCTGATGTCCCACTTCGCTCGAAGAAACTCTGCTATAAAGCTTAATACGAAGATTTTACTGGATCATCTACACAATTACCATAAAGGATGTTTGGAAGTCTATATCTGTGGGGGAAGAGAGAGAGAGAGAGAGATAAAAAAAAAAAAAAAAAAGCAGGCAAAGGAGAGGGAAGGCAAAAAAAGCATAGCATAAAGCACTCGGGGGCAAACGATCCAAGGCTCTAACGGTGTGGGGTCCCTTTCATATCTCCAATGAACCAACGGACGAGATCTAAATATATCTTACCAACAATAAGGTGAAACTTCTGCAGGATTGCCCCTGTGGTTCCATTTTTTTTATGTTGGCTGGGTGATGGTATACCAACTCACCCAACTCCGTACCCGTTTACTTTGAAACCAAATGATCGGCGGATACCCCAGTCCTGGAAGGGGATTCACGATTCGCCTATTTCCGCCAAAGGCTTTCAGTCTAAAGTGTGACGGAGATGTGCCTATGTGCTTAAGCCTGCATCTCGCTGGCGCTTAACGGAGGAGGGCGGCGATCATTGGCCAGCAGACCAACCCTACTCTGCCGCCCTTCATCGCCATCGATTGATGCAGTCAGTGAACCAAAGACTATATAGCCGCCCAACACTCCCCCGGTTTTTGAACCCTTTCTATTTCTTGATACACTGCTTGTTTGAGATTTCCTTTTAGTCTCCCTTTTTGTTCTATTTTCGTCTTCTAGTGTTTCGTTTGGCTGGTCCAGACGAGTGCTATTTTTTGAGTCTTCCTATTTTTGGATCTGCATTACGTCAATAATAATAGTATCATTTACACGCCCTGCGTCTAAGAGACCCTTCGTTGACCGAAGTGAATCGCTAGCGCTTTTAATATCCTTTTCCATTACTTTAAATCTCCTTCGCTCCCCCCCAAAGCTGTATCCAACCTCCACCTCCACAATGATCCCCACTGCTCGTGCAGCCGCAAGACCCAAGTTGAGTCTCAGCATTTCTGCTGCGCAGAATACCTCTCGGCCTACATTGTCGCTCAAGTCCCCGGGTCCTCTCCCCCGGACTCCAATCTCCCCGTCTGCTCCCAGTCCAGCTTCCTCCCGGTTCTGCTCTCTTCAAGTGCCGAGTTATGGATACGTCAACTCGTGTTCCTCAAAGAGCATTCTCAAAAAACAATCAACAGCGGTCGCAGCTGGCAACGTTAACAAACGGATCCAGTTTAAAGGCACACCGACCGTCCACTGTGTGACGCCCATTGAGAACCCCGAGGAATACTACGGCACGCACACCAAGATGTCGCGCGAAGAGCGGCGTTGGATGGTGCGCGAATGAACGATCACCAGTAAAACTCGATGAACCACACCTACGCAGACGGAACGAGAGGACTACTCGGAGTTCGGGGGCTCTTCATCCATTGAGAGCCCATCTCCCGCGACTGTACCCGGCCCTAATTTTGGATTGACAATGCAACTTGCAGCACAAATGCAGCAGAGCCTGTGGAGGACCGTCCGCGCAGAGCGTCGGACGTCCGGTACAAAAGTCAAGGAGAGGAACGTCCCTATTGGAAAGGAGGGTAGTCTATCAATGTATATATGATCCTATTATGTTTATGATGTGATGATAAGATCCATACCAAGTATAGCATGAGTGAGCATTAGCCTGGAGAAATCCAATTACAGTCGTTACGCTCCATCACTTGCGTCCAGACCCGTAATGTTGTCAATATGGGTACTCATTCATGTGCAGCTCTAACGCCTGTTTTTACTTGTCTTACATCCATACTTAATCGTAATAACCAAGAAAAATTAACAAACACAACTAGAATTCATGATGATCCTGCTCTGCGTCATTACCATTTTGGTCATGGTTTAGGGCACCCTTTGAGGGCTTCTGTGGCCCGTGCGACCGAACGTCAGGCCTTTTCCGCAGTGGTTATCGCCGTGTCCAGCCGGAGCACCATCTCTTCAATTAACCCCAATGTTGAACTTGAGGACCCCCGTCGCGAGTTTTCGCAAGGCTATATGCAGCACAGCAAGACGTAGCTTGTTTCCTCGAAATCGGGACCTGCTCACTTTTGCTATTGAAACTTCTTGGTAAGACGATCCCGGAACTGAACCAAGCTTGGCTGCTAATTTGTCTATTGGCACTAGCGATGACACTTCAGTCGCAATTGTTGAAAAGAATGAAACCACAAATGCCGCTAAGATCCATTTCCTTGAGAACGTAACGGCCGATTCAAACGAGTACCGAGGTGTCCATCCCATTGCATCACTCGAGTCACACCAAGAAAACCTCGCGAAACTGGTTGATAAGGCGCTGAGGCATTTGCCCGTCGCTTCGGACAATGTTGAAGGACACCGATCGATAACGCTCGCGGATGGCTCCCAGCCGCGCTACAAACCGGACTTTGTGTCCGCTACTCGAGGGCCGGGGATGCGAGCGAATCTCTTCGTCGGCTTAGATACAGGGAAAGCGTTGTCAGTTGCGTGGCAAATCCCTTTCATGGGTGTTCATCATATGCAAGCTCATTTGTTGACACCCCGGCTTGTATCGTCTCTCAGTCAGAATCAAGGGACCAGTGGTCACACCTCACCGTCACCGCCTGTTACACCAGAGTTTCCCTTTCTGTCTATCCTTGTCTCGGGCGGCCATTCGATTCTTGTGAAATCATCAACCCTTACGGACCACAAGATCATGGCCTCCACCGCGGACATAGCAATTGGCGAGTCGCTTGACAAATCGGCCAGGGAAATTCTTCCTGATTCCTTACTGCAGAGTGCGAAGAATACCATGTACGGCAAAATGCTAGAGGAATTTGCTTTCCCAAATGGTAGCACCGATTATGCTGATTATCGCCCTCCGATGAACCGTGGCGAGGAACTCGTCAAGCGGGAGACCCCATGGGGCTGGTCCCTGACGACCCCGTTTGCTAATACTCGCAACCTGCAATTCAGTTTTTCATCTATTGCCAGTGCGGTCAAGAAGATCATCACACAAAAAGAGAACTCCGGACAGAGCTTTTCCCATGAAGAACGAGTTGATATGGCCCGCGAATCCATGCGGGTCTGTTTCGAGCATCTCGCCTCTCGGACGATCATCGCTCTTGAGACACTTCGTCAACAGAAGCCTGACGATGAGGTAAAGACCCTCGTGGTCAGCGGTGGTGTCGCGGCCAATCGTTTCCTCATGACTGTTTTGCGCTCATTCCTCGATGTCCGCGGTTTCAATCATGTCGACATTTTCGCACCCCCTCCGTACCTGTGCACCGACAATGCTGCGATGATTGGATGGGCTGGCCTTGAGATGTTTGAGGCGGGCTGGCGCACAGATCTCAGTTGCCGCGCTCTCAGGAAGTGGAGCCTTGATCCGCAAGCCGATGATGGCGGCGTTCTGGGCCCCAGCGGATGGCAGAAAGCCTAGGCCTATCTTCGATGACGGTTATTCATTGTCTTCACTGTACACTAGTAATACCCTTGTACACCACTCATCCTTTTACTTCTAGTTGATGTATATATACTCTCAATTTAAAGATATAGATAGACAGGATATGACAGTAATATTTTTTGGGTTAGGACTTTGTTTTCTACCAGATCTATCTGACAATCGTATAGAAAGCGCTGCCCGGGTAGTCTTATCCTACACCCAAATATAGTGCCAACGACTTTTTGTCAAAAAGCGCATGTATCAATGCTGCCCATCTAGTGATTTTGAGGATACTATCATCCAATCGGCCAGCGACCAGAGAGCTCCTGTTGTCCACGGCCCCTTCGAGGACCCAGCTGCCGCTGAATTTTGGCTAGAGAGTCGTGACACCAGTGATTTCCTCGCATCGACTATCTAGTGATCAAAAATGAGGTTTCAAATCAACCGCCCGCGACATTGTCACCTTGCCGCAGAGTGGTGATTTGTTTGCGAAGCTCGAGGAAGAAGTCCTTGCCGTTGGCCATAGTGTTTGCTGTAGCATGAACGTCAATATGACGAAAATGAGGGAACCAATCAGTCAGGCGACATACGTTTCGAGCCCCAAGGTCCAGAGCGGTTTGTGTCCTTTCCACCAGGTTTATAAAGGAAGGGCTTCGGCTCTACGAGAACAGTTAGCGACCGGATGGGTGCTTGCACGACGTCGCAAGCTTCCTCTGATATAACGGACCTCTTGAATCTAATCGCGCATGTTCCGTTAGCAAATAGTATATCGTTGAGATATCATAGGTGGAGCCTACTTCTCTTGAGAGCCCCCTTCGCCTCGGCAGCATTGAAGCCTCGCACAGGGACATGTTGTTCCTGAGCTGGCCCAGTGGAGAGCTGATCACGCGACTCTCCCCAGGTGGTATTCTGGTTCTGTCCACCACGAGAGCCACTATGCGCGCTCATCGTTCTGTGCATGGAGTGCCTTTGTCCCGACTGGCGGTTTTGGTCGTATGTGCGGCCCCCGCGCCATCTAGCAGGAGATCTCCGGCGTTAGTATCAAGGGCGGCTGGGGGAAATAATGAATGGGGGGCATATATATATGTATATATATATTTATATATAAAAGCTCAGGGTCAGGGGGGGAAATCGAGGGGAAGACGATTACCGATCATCGCCAGAACCACTCATATTGGGGAGGGAGAAGCTCAATCAAATCAGATTGGATTGAATTATTTAAGCTGTGGGCTTTCAAAAGAAGCTCCGCGTTGATTAAATCGGACCAAAATGTCAGGTGGAGTCTCTCCGCCTTGTCTCAAGATGGTTTAGTGCCGCCGGGCAAGTGAGATAACGGACACTCCTCGCTTTCGCGTCTTCCCTTCGCCGCCGATGGCTGAGACACCTCTGCCCTTCATTTCTTTGCTATTTTGTGCATTTTTCGGCTGCTATTGAGTCATGATTGACATTTCTTCTTTACTTGATCCGGTTTCCTTATGCTACGCGGCACCGCGAGACACTGTTTGATTGCAACGTGAGGCTGAGCGACAAGCTCAACGACATTGATCAACATCCATTCTTTTGTACACCATCCCATCCCACAACTGTCTGAACATTCTTTCCCGACCGCAGAAATGGCGCCATTAACTTCGAATAAATACCGGTCATCCCCCGGAAGGCCGCCTAAGACCCAATCTAAAGCCGTGCTGAAAGGCACCCAGAACTCAAACGCTACTCCGGGTGACGGACCACCCCTCAAAAAGCGGAAATACGTCCCTGGTGGACCAGGTGGTGGAGGTAGATACATCGAGCTTGATGTGCGAGAGACGAAGCCGCCTAAGCCGGCGAAACCTGCGAGACCCCCAAAACCAGCCAAACCATCGCCAGTTGCACGCAACTCCACCCCCCGAACCCGCCATGCCCGAGAAGCTGAAGTTCAACCCATGCAGCTCCCTCCACCCCCGCCTCCTGTCCCAACGACACCACCATCTGCACGTCTCACAAGAGACAAAAGCCAAAGTCGGGGCGGCCGTTTCGGCTCCTCGACCGCTGCTGCTCTGGCTTTACAACAGGGGGATGGGTATAAGCCACGGGAAGAGCGAGGGTGGGAGGAGTTCCACCCGGATTTGGATATTGAAACGAAGTTTGTAGTCTTCCCTGCAGAGGAGGTGGATAAGCCAGCTCCGTCTGCGCATGTAGCCCATATCCTTTCTCCGAATGGCCTCAATCTCAACAATGACAAAGACCCATTAGCTGAACTTATCCGAGCTCATGCCAATGGCACGTCTCCTACACCTATCAAACGCCGGCCAGGACGCCCTCCCCGCCGTCCTGAAGCAATTCTAAACGCTCTCGGAATTACACCACAACCAAAAGTTGTTCCACCCCCTGGTCCAAACCCCCGGGAGAGGCTAACCCTCCCTAAACCCTCATTTCGACTACGAGATCCATTTAGATTCTACGATCAACCAGGTGTGGGCCAACAAAACTATGTTGACCGGACAATGGCAAGTGTGGGATATCAGGAGAGTGATCTTTTCCTTCGCCACGATCGTCGATTGATACGTGTAACTGAGGCACCACAGGAGGACGATCTCGACGCCGTCAACCCCGTGGGAACTGAGGAGGAGCCCAATACCTCTGTTGGGAGAGTAGAATATGATATGGATGAGCAAGACGAAAAGTGGCTGGAGGACTACAATGCAAGGCGTAGAGAGGATCAGCTGGAACCCATCAAACCCGCTGTCTTCGAAATCACCATGACAAAGATTGAGAAAGAGTGGCATGCGCTCGAGAAGCGCATCCCCAAACCAAACCCAAAACCGCCCCAAACGCAACGACCTCGTTCAAGCTCTGCCGCTGCGGTGAATGGCGAAACCACGGGGCCCGGAGAGGATCAAGACAGCAAATGTGCGATTTGCGATGATGGTGATTGTGAAAACTCCAATGCTATTGTCTTCTGTGACGGATGCGATCTGGCAGTGCATCAGGAGTGTTACGGCGTACCATTCATCCCCGAGGGCCAATGGCTATGCCGTAAGTGTCAACTGGTTGGGAGAGGAGCCGTCAACTGCATCTTCTGTCCCAACACCGAGGGTGCCTTCAAACAGACTACCACCTCGAAATGGTCTCATCTGCTTTGCGCTATATGGATCCCGGAAGTGTCTATTGGAAATCCGTCGCTGATGGAACCGATCACCGATATTGAAAAAGTACCTAGGAGCCGTTGGAAACTTCATTGCTATATTTGCCGGCAGCGAATGGGTGCATCGATTCAGTGCAGCAACAAGAACTGCTTCGTCGCATTCCATGTGACTTGTGCCCGACGGGCTCAGCTCTATCTGAAGATGAAGTCCGGCCACGGATCTCCTGCAATCATGGATACTCACCTGCTCAAAGCATTCTGCGACAAACATGTTCCTCCCGAGTGGCGCCGGGAACATGGGACGGACGCTGCTACCGCTGAAGCCATGGAATACTATCGTAATACTATGCAAGGCCGGCGGTGGGGTGACAGTCAGGCTGCCGCGCTAGCACTAGAGCCATCACACCCCCTCGGGTGTGAGCATGGGGACGATGAGGCACTGCGGACTCATACGCCACGCATTACGCTTACGGTTGGTGGGAATAAAAGAAAACGCCCTACTATACCCAAGACTATCTGGAAACTGCCATCCGGCGCTCCCGTGATACCACACGTTGTTCTAAACGCCGTTGCAGCCTCTCTTCAGCGCTTCGGTGTGCGTCAGCGAAAGCAATATGCCGAGGATGCGTGCAAGTATTGGACACTCAAACGCGAAGCCAGAAGAGGTGCCGCATTGCTGAAGCGTTTGCAACTACAACTAGAGACCTTCTCATCTATGGAAATGACCAGGAGAGACTACGTCGCCATGGGAGCTGCCGGAGGGAAGCGGCTCCAACGCCGTATTGAGTTCGGTGAACGACTATATCATGATCTCGATCGGTTGAGAACGATGTGCGATGAAGTCAAGAAACGTGAGAGGGAGAAGCTGAAGGATGCCGAAACTCTTCGGAGTATTGTCGACACCGTCTACTTCCCTATATTCCCCTTGCTCTGGCCTATTTTTGACAAAGCTCAAGGGTAAGTATTTTTTTCTCTGACTATTTTGGAGCTGTTACTGATGCTGATGTCGATACAGACTTGACGGCAGGGGCATCTTCAGACAGGGGTTGGTGTCGATACGCACTAAGCTGGAAGAGCGCCGGTACACCTCCGTTTCTGCTTTCTCTGCTGATCTTGCTCGAGTGTTCACGTCGGAGATTGGGGTGCAGCCCGCAGGGGACACTGCCGAACTTCAAATGCAGATCAGCGGCCGCGCTCCGGAGCTCAGCTTAGAACAGCGCGAGAAACGAAAACTGGCCAAGCGCATTATCAAGTTCATCCAGCCTGCCCTGGAGGAAGCGATCAAGAAAGAAAGCGAGCTGAATCGTAAGCCCTTCGAACAGGAGCTTAAGGAATTGGACCTTATGCTCGAGAACAGTGTCATGTCGCGAAGGGGCTCACAAGTTGAGTCATCAGCTGCTGGGGATGAGGGTTCGGGGAAGCCAGAGGGCCCTCAGGAGAATGCTCAAAAGATCAATAGAGATGTGGAGGTGGCTGCTAAATCGGAGCCCTCTGATGGCGCCGAGGTTACCGCTCTGCCCCAACAGTCCGTTGATAGCGCTATGCCAGATGCAGACCAAGCCCAACCTCCGGACGGTGCTTCAGTATCTCAGACTCAGGAAGTCCCCGGGGCTGAGGTATCCACTCCGACGGTAGAGGATGAATCTAGCAAGCAAGAGAACCCGTCGGCCAATGCACCGACCACTTCTCTTGAAGCATCACCAGCTCCAAATGGAGTCGCAGACAAGCCAGACGAGAACGACCTAGGATCCACCGATCAACCTTCTGAACCACAGAAAGAGCCGTTGACACCCCCTCCCAGCTTCAAGGGGGACCAACAGCTTCCTTTAGCACAAGGTGGCATCCAGTGGTATATGCAACCGTTCGATCCCGTGGGCACCACAATCCATGAAGAGCGATGGACGGGCCGGGATGTCATGCGCGGGATGAGCGAAGAACTCAGTGAGCTTGACGAGGAGGAGCTGAAAGACTTGGTCGACGATGAACTTGAAGGGGAGATGGGGACTGCCATCAAGGGATCCACCACCGACACTGGACCCGATGCGGCACCGGAGCAGGCCGTCAAGGTGTATCGAACTCGACGTCGCTGGCGTGGATTTAAATAGATGATCGAAGAGATTCCCCGTTTGAGTCTTGTGTTTGGTTCTTCTTTTCTTCAACCTCTTCTATCCCTTTCTCTCTTTAATATTTTCTACTTTATCATGTTTGTGTTTGGGCTGATGGCGCGGGTCGGATTACGGCGTCCCCTCCCCTTTTTCTTCTCTTGCACCCTATCGATTCCATGTGTTTCACTGTGCTTTTGCGTCTACTATGATGAATGAATCGTGGGATGTTCGTTTTCTTGCACTGGTAGCTTTACGGCGGTCGTCGGGACTGTAGTTAGGTTGATCTACGACTGAATGGACTACTGCAACTGAAGATCTCAAGCGTTATTCCCGTGAAGAGTATATTTATTGCATTGATTGTACTTATTGTTAGATTTAGAATTGAATTCCCGGAAGATTTATTCCTGTCTATCTAACTTAAGTATCTGTAGAGGTTTTGATCATAAACAAAAACAGCCGGGTCTTGGCGCTCCACCCACAAGAGCCGCTTGCCGTAAAAGGTCTGGAATTCGGTGACTTGGACCTTCGACTGCGAGTGAACGAACTGCTTTCTTCCCCCTTCTTTCATCATTCATCCATCCCTCTCCCTCCCCCAACAACCATTCATCCCCCCTTCTTCTTTTCTTTCCCTTCCCTTATTCTTTTCCTTGTTCTTCCTCTCTCCTGAGGATTTGGTTAATTCTTCTTCCCTGTATTGGTGATTATTCTTCTTCCTAATCAAACCAGTGTGGGTGCTTGAATTTTCTGCATCATTTTCCCATCAACAAATTTTCGACGTGCGACGCGCCCCTATCCCTTGATATAACCGCTCTTTTTGCCAACCAAATTCTAGTTGTTCGATAATCTCCGTCAATATGTCCACAGAGTATGATCACGAAAACGGTCGCTATGACGGTAGGTTCGATGGTTACATCAGCATCTTCGGCATCGCCCTGGGAACACCATAGCAATACTAATCCGTCTGCTTCCACGCGCATCAGACGAGCCTCGCTTCTCTCGCGACGAACGCAGTGCATCTCCTCGCGATGAGCCTCGTGCCGACCGCGCCCGTAGCCGCTCTCCCAATGGTCGCGCCGATGACCGGTATGTCGCATGACCGGAAACTTCGCCACGTGCCGGGCGTTGGTTGAATCTGAGAAATCAAAAAAGAAACTAACTCATCATTCTCTTTTCAGGGCTCCTATCGAGCCGCGTAAGCCTCTTGAGGATGAGGAGGGTGCGGTTAACACTGGCTCCAACCTTTTCGTCACCGGCATTCACCCCCGTCTGACCGAGTCCGACATTTCGCGTCTTTTCGAGAAATATGGTGATGTCGAGAGCTGCTCGATCATGGTCGACCCCCACACCAAGGAATCTCGTGGCTTCGGATTCGTCAAGATGGTGACTGCTGAACAAGCCGACGCCGCCAAGGAGGGCCTGCAGGGTGAGGTTATCGAGGGCCGTACTCTCAGCATTGAGAAGGCTCGTCGTAGCCGCCCTCGCACCCCGACCCCCGGCAAATACTTCGGACCCCCCAAGCGTGGTCAGTAACTCTTGAGCCCGGATCAGTAACCCCAATCGACTCACAGCATTTGCAGACTTCCGGGGCGGTGGCCGCGGACGTGGTGACCGCTACGACGACCGACGTGGCCCTTACGGAGGCAGCTGGCGTCGCAATGACGACTACCGCTATGGCCGCTACGACTCTTACAGTGACCGCCGCGACTATGGTGGCCGCGGTGACTACCGGGATTACCGCCGTGACTACCGGGACGACTACGGTAGCTACCGTGGAATCGATCGTTATGCTTCGGGAGGACGGGAAGACCGGTACAGTCGCGATGAACGCCGCGATGACCGCCGCGAAGAGCGCCGTGGCTATTATGATCGCGATGCTAACCCTCCCAGTTACAGCCATGGTGGTGCTCCTCCTCCTCCCCGCGAGGCTTATTCCGGCGGCGGCGGCGGTGGTGGCCGCTCGTATGACCCTCGTGAAGACCGATATGGTAGCAGGTAGGTGCAGGGTTGGCAGTTATCGACGATGAAAAATCAGGGTCATGGCACGTAATTCTTTTCCCCCCATTTCTAGTCTCTGTCTAGGCTTCCCCTTTTCGTTTCTTTTGTTACCCCCCCTTGTCCTTGTTTTGTGTGACATTCCAACGCCCATCCACATTCCCTGGAATGGTTTCTTAATTCAATACCCGCTGCCTATGGGGAATGAGCTCGACGGTCCACGGTGGAATGTCGGTTTATGTTGTTCTTGATTTTTATCGGAAAAAGTCGTCTGCGCAATTACTACTTGTCATCTCGGCGACATTCGGTACGCCATCAGTTATGCGACCATTTTAACCCTGTCAGAAAACCAAAGGAGAAAAAAAAAAAAAAGGGAAGAACAAGATACTCTTGTGTCGTCGGTCTGCAGTCGCTAGCTGGAGTTTTCTTTTGTTAATTCGCTCGAAACACCGGACAAATTTGGCGGCAGGGAAGGAAAAAAGACATGATATTTACCATAACGTTGTAATTCCTCGGATTATCAGATGGGTCTCAGCACTTCTACATTGCAACTCTTCCGGAAATTGGTCGTTATCTCGCTAGTCAGCTTGTTCGCCTTGTTGCGTCTTATTCAACCTTTTCTACGTAACGACTGTTCGATCTGTATACGGCCAGAAGCAAAGACATAATATCTATCATGCCATGCACAATTTCTCTTCACGCCTTCTGAGGACACAAGCAGTTGAACGGAGTTCGGCCATGATCCGCCAGTTCCGCCATCGTGTTGCTTGCGTGCTTGTAGTATCGCCAGTACGAGCGAAGTGTACACGTCTAGAACGAGCGGGAGAGAGCCATGTCGACGTAATTGCCGCAGCCATCTTATCAACAGCCGGGGGTTCCACCAACTTCGACCGTTGATGGCCTGTTGGCCTGCCGAGGTAGGTAAGATGGTATTGCGATCCGAGCTAACACGTGGAAAAGGAGTCACATATTATCGTTCCCGGGCGCGGTTCCCATGACCCATTATTGTTTCTTCACTTCGTTTTGATTCTCGTGGTCAGACGAACTCCATTGCATGGTGCTGTCGACCAGCCGTGACATGTTACTTGGTTGTTTTGCCGAGTCACTAACAGACAGAACCATGCTTTTAATGGGGAAGCTCTTGGGTTCGTGTCGTTCCATGTTCTAAAGTATAGGGTTAAAAGTGTATACTATTCGGTTTACTTGTAGGAATAGAGACGTTCTCTTCTGGTCGATTATCGGTTCACTCGGTTTTTCCAGATTAGTCTGACAAGCTGGAGATATCGATCGCGGTAGGTGCATCACCGGTCATATCTCATATAAGGACCATATGTGCCGCATATCACTCTCATTGATCCTATGAGTGTGTCGTTATTTTAGAATAGGAGTTAGAATAACTGCTAATCAGTTGAGCCGTGTAACCTCTTACCTGATCACGCTTAGTTTTAGATAGTCCATAATGCAAGGGCGTGGAGCGCCCTTGATTCGTTGTATAACCATCCTCTAACACATTCCCTAGCAGTTAGTTTGATGAAGAGCAAACGTTCCCATCACTCTAGAAGTGTCATTCGAATGAATAGTTCCGCATGATAACAACCCACTGGAGTACCAATATATGTCGACTGAATAAAAGCAAGAAAAGAAGAAAAGGCATATTCACTGCTGAGATATGGGCGATAGAGATTCAAATTCATAGTAGGGATGATTCAGAGTGTAAGACGGATAAATATATATCTCCCGCAGTACTTCGGCTAATGTTATTGAAATGCTAGAAACCTATATTCTTAGTTAGATCTTAGCCCCGTCGAAAAAATATATATATATCTCTCTATGAAACTATATATATATCTCAGCTCATATAGCATCTACACGCCCCAAAACCAATACTCTCCAACGAAACACCTCCACAACCCATACACCAATCCTCTAAAGCCAACACACACAAAATATATAGATAATAACCAAACTAGATTCTCTCATACCGATAACGTTCAAAAAAGATGGTATCATAAAATCCCTAACCCCAAGAATAAAACACCACAAACCACCCTAAACACCACAAACGAACTATCCTCAATGTCAAGTCCCGAACCTGCGCAGCAGTAGACACACCACGGCCAACGGCTTTCAAATTTCCCATGCTCCATCCCGGCTCATCTATCCTGTCCAGCTATACAGCACATGACTGGCTACCCGGTAGAAATGTAATATCCGTTCTTTCCGGGGACGCGGACGAATCCACCAGCGCGCAATATCCTCCCGCTTCAAGCGAGATAAATTCGATCCCACATATCCTAACTTAAACCCAGTCTCTAATCCATGGACTGAAAAGATTTATTCAGGCGACTTTGCCCCTTCCACCTCATTACTCTTCTGAATCAGGAATTCGCCGAGTACGCGGAGCGGGTTTTGTGGTCTAATTCCATTCCATCATACACCTCGGTTAGCCAACTCCATTCTCTGACTATCGAGTATACAAATAAATGACAACTCTGGTAGGGGTATGCCAACTCACTGCTCCTTCGTAACATGTTTCATTCCCTCCAGGAGATACGGGACGATCTTCTCGTTCATGTAGACTCGGGCCGGGGCACCGCCGGGTCGGAGTTGGGCGGTTGGGGTAGGTTCGCCGGTCGGGGTATTGGCCGCTGCGGTGTTGGGGGTGGAATCGTTGGCCATGATTGTTGGTTTTACGGTTGTCGAGGGAGCGTCTTTGGTATTTGGAGGTGGGATGGGGGACTGGTGGTTTTTTTTTTGTTGTGAGTTCAACGTTCACGTTTCAATCGGGGTTCCGGTTGGGGTTTATGACGTTTGAGTTTCCAGTGATATATGGGATTTGTATGTGTGTGTGTGTGTTGGGTGGGG